TTTATTTGTTTCATATTAAAATAAAAAATGTTAATAAAATTATTATACTTTTCTTATTGTTTTAATGACGCCAGATTCATTAGTTGTTTTTGTCAACAATGGCCATGTGTTGACAATTTCGCTATAAGATAAAGGATAATTATCTCCCTTGCGCTTATTTGATTTTGTTATTAGTTTAATATTGTTTAAGTAAATTAAAGTTGTAATGTATGATCTTCATAGATTATCACTTTTTATAATTAGTCATAAATTATCTTGGAAAAATTCTGAGTATATTTAAATATTTTTGAAGAAGGAAAAATTATATGTAACCTTTGTACCGTAAATAATTAATTTAGTTATATCATCTAAGTTCAAATAATAGTTTGTCTTCAGACCAGTAGCTAATGTAAGGCTCACACATATTTATAATCAGTTTTTACTGATACTAGGTTTGCCTAGGTTGTAGACCAAAGATGTAGAAAAGTTATTTCTATAATTTTGAAAGTCCTTTCCTATTCACTACCACAGCGTGTTCTTTTACAGTCTTTAACATTTAAAATAAATAAGTATTTAATACAGTTCTAAATATAAATCAAAAGCTATAAATAATAAGTCAATACAAAAACGGGTTATAAAACTTTGGGTCCACTCGAATACTCAATTTATCTTGAAATGTAAGTAATTGTTATACTACTCAGAATATTATTTTACTATTGTTAAACTTATAAACTGTTGAATTTAATTTACCTTTTAGACAAGTTTACATTTGTTGATATTGTATACTGTTTTTGTTACTTAACATCATGTTTATTTAATACAAATATAAACATCTTTATTATCTTTTTATCCTACTGTCATAGCTCAGTTCCCTGAGAAGAACTATAAGAACTGAGATAGTCTAATGATCTCACTTGGCATCCATCGTCAGCACACTATATAGCTATTAGTATATTTGGTGAATAGAGTCATATATCTCAGTTATTAACACGACAGAAATAACTAACTAGAGGGGACGGAAGAATCCAAGCCCGACCCTCCTGTTACAAAATTTGGTGGCCAATGTGGGGAACGATGATAGCTCCATGGAGGTTTGGAAATAGTTCCTTACTATTAACTCTCTCTCTAAGGACGAGTCTTTCTTTCTTTGCTGCTTCCCTTGCCTGTACATTTACCTTCGGTTTTAAAATACGTTTAACTGTTTTGCCGGGGTCGATATAATTCATGTTGTCTACTAGTTGAGGGATGGTATTTACCACTTCTTCCGTTCGGGCTTTAATGTTGAGTTTGTGAAAATCTCTTAAATGCTGGAGTAGGTAGCATCTTCTCCCTAATTTCCTCTGACACAGACGACATACAATGATGGACGTTTTCTTGGTGTGAAAGCGGAGCCAGTGCTTACAATACATGCCTATGCTTTTGATTACAGGGGTTTCACACCCCTTTACCTCACAAGGCATCCCTTCATCAGGCCAATACTCTGGAATTTCTTCTTCAGAGGGTATTACAAAGTTTGCCACTGAAATTCCAGACATACTGAAAAAGGTAAAATGCAATATTAACAATTATAACTTTTTTTTAGGTAATTTTCCCTTAGGATTTATAAATCGTTTATTAGCACATGATATAGAATTTACTGATGCAGTACGTTCTGCCGCAATATCTTTTTCTAATAGGTGGCACGTTCTAAAATGTCGGCCCAGTTCACACCTGTATTTAAATTTCCTGTTGCACATAGTACATTTATACATAGGAATATTTTCTAAATGTACAAGTTTCCAATGTTTTATGTAACGTGAGTAGTTCCGGAAAAGTACGGTGTTACACCCGGTTACGTCGCAATGCATGCCATTTTGTGGAAATGTTTCTCTCAAATCATCATCTAGACGAAGTATTTCTCTATCTTCCATTACTATCATTTGGTCTGCTTCAGCCATTATGAGTAATGTCTGAAAAATATTTTTTTTTCTTTATTTAATTTCATATGTTTAAATATTAGCTAAATTGTTTAAAAATAGATATATATGTTTATCAAGAATAATGTATATGTTTCATATAAATTGATTCTTAGGGGGGAGGAATGTAACAATTTCGCTATAAGATAAAGGATAATTATCTCCCTTGCGCTTATTTGATTTTGTTATTAGTTTAATATTGTTTAAGTAAATTAAAGTTGTAATGTATGATCTTTATAGATTATCACTTTTTATAATTAGTCATAAATTATCTTGGAAAAATTCTGAGTATATTTAAATATTTTTGAAGAAGGAAAAATTATATGTAACCTTTGTACCGTAAATAATTAATTTAGTTATATCATCTAAGTTCAAATAATAGTTTGTCTTCAGACCAGTAGCTAATGTAAGGCTCACACATATTTATAATCAGTTTTTACTGATACTAGGTTTGCCTAGGTTGTAGACCAAAGATGTAGAAAAGTTATTTCTATAATTTTGAAAGTCCTTTCCTATTCACTACCACAGCGTGTTCTTTTACAGTCTTTAACATTTAAAATAAATAAGTATTTAATACAGTTCTAAATATAAATCAAAAGCTATAAATAATAAGTCAATACAAAAACGGGTTATAAAACTTTGGGTCCACTCGAATACTCAATTTATCTTGAAATGTAAGTAATTGTTATACTACTCAGAATATTATTTTACTATTGTTAAACTTATAAACTGTTGAATTTAATTTACCTTTTAGACAAGTTTACATTTGTTGATATTGTATACTGTTTTTGTTACTTAACATCATGTTTATTTAATACAAATATAAACATCTTTATTATCTTTTTATCCTACTGTCATAGCTCAGTTCCCTGAGAAGAACTATAAGAACTGAGATAGTCTAATGATCTCACTTGGCATCCATCGTCAGCACACTATATAGCTATTAGTATATTTGGTGAATAGAGTCATATATCTCAGTTATTAACACGACAGAAATAACTAACTAGAGGGGACGGAAGAATCCAAGCCCGACCCTCCTGTTACACAAGTATGACAAGTAATGAGAAAATTCAGGATTCATGAATGCTCTTTGAATTATTTGAAAAGTGGAAAAAAGTCTACTTCGGAAGTTGGGATCACTAAGAACAGCCTTACTATTTCAGTTATTTAATACCTGGTAATGTCCATGAAATAAACAAAATAGGGGGAGTTACTAGAAAAAACCTTGAACTTCTACAGATCGGCATTGTCTTTTAAAATTAAAGTTCCGTATTTTGCGGAAAATAAAACGCACCCCTAAATAAGGCGCACGGCCGTTTTTTGGGGGAAGAAGTGTTTTTTTCCTTACATAAAACGCACCTGAATATAAAGCGCACCCTAATGAAAATGTAGTATGCATTCTACTGACCTTAGAGTAATGAATGTTCACTCGTTTTTGTAACTCACTGCGTAACATGTTTCATTTCTATTTTCAGATTGTTGAGAAAGTTGAAAGGCATTTTGATTATATTTATTTGTTTCATATTAAAATAAAAAATGTTAATAAAATTATTATACTTTTCTTATTGTTTTAATGACGCCAGATTCATTAGTTTTTTTTGTCAACAATGGCCATGTGTTGACAGCGTGGGTGTCCATTGAACTTGTTGTTTTGATTAAAATTAGTTTGGTGTTGATTGCTCGTTAATTGTTTCAATTGGAATCAAGGATTTTAATCTTTCTTGAAAATGTATTCATTAAAGGTCACTCAAGCCATAAAACTGCCATTGTTTACCTTGATTATTACGTAATACCAGGTATACCTGTAGCCACATGTTAACTGGTCACACATAAGCCAGGGGAAAACAAATTATCAAATTAAATTTGAAGAATTTTATTGTTGTCTATAAAATAAAAGTTTTAGTTTAATAGCTTCAAACATTTTTAAATTTAAACTTGGTTGAATACTACGAACAAAACCATTCAGTTTCTGCAAGTCATTGTCTATTTTTAACTGAAAGTGAGATGGGCCACGGAAAGGAGAATTCAAATAAGACGGCGATATATAAATGTCTTAGCATATTAAATTATGAAAATTAATATTCTTTTCTTCATTTCATACATCCGATAATATGTGGCTACAATATTTCCTGAAGATATTTCATTTTGAAACACAATAAAACGAAAAGCAGTTACTCCTCAATAGTATATCCTGTATGGTACCTCTTTTCAAACACGCTTATCTTTCTTTGTTTATGAAACACTTTAAAGGGTTCATTTCAGCACATGGTTATCACCATCGTCATTAAAAGAGACTTGAAATATTGGAAAGAAACACAATCACTTCCTTTATTATTCCTTTAGGAGATTTTATTTAAAAACACATTAAAACAACAAACCATTACATATTTATTGTAAATACACAATTAATATCCTCTATGGTACCTCTTTCAAACACAGTTATCTTTCTTTGTTTATGTAATGAACACACATGGTTATCAACTTCGTAAGCCAACAATGAAATAAAGAACAAATGATAAAGTATATATAATTTTATTCATAACAAAATATGCCACATGAATAATTTATCAAGTCACTGCAAGCACTTGACAATCTGAAGGTCTCCATAAAAAAAATCCAGATATAATTTTTTTTTCACACTTGCCCTGAAACACTGAAAATATACGTACATAAAGCGCACCTGAGTATAACACGCAGGGACAATGACAGAGAAAAAAACCTGCGGCTTATTTAACGAATTTAACGGTTATTCATATATGTAACATTAAGAAATAGTTCTATACTCTTTGAAACTTGGTAAGCAAATGAGATAAGTCCTTTGAGTATTTGTAAGAAAGGCAATTTGTTTGTTATTTTTCCCAACATGAATGTCTTGCAGTCAAAACTAACTTCTATCGGCTTATGATGACATGATACATGTACATGCACATCCTTGAAGATAGATGAATGTGCTGTAAAAATCCTGAAACTCCCACATATACATGTAATAACAAGTTGAAAATGGCCCATACAAAAATGTTTTGTTTGTTAAGGTTTGTTTTAGTTCTAAGTTTGTTTTTTTTACAGGTTTAAGAAGAATGAACCATAATGGCACTCAATAAACAGCTAACAATAAAAACTTCCTGGACTTTCCAAGGGGATATTGATAGTTTGTTGGTGAAATATGAAAATGATCAGTAAGTAAATTTTTTGCATTTTTAAGCTCTGTGAATTTCAAGCAAAAAGAGTTATGTGACATTACGTAATTACAATGTATGTTTATATATATTCATTTTTGGAAATTCAAGACTGTAGCACTTTTATGTCAAATGAGGCAAATGTCTTACTGGTATATTTGTAATTGATTTCAATGGTTACACAAGGGGTATTAAACTATTCTCAGTTCTCATTATACTATTACTTTTAAGTCTGTGATTTGTTCAATTTCTTTTGTTTCAGTGTTCAAGTATTGTTAAGAATGCTGGCAATTAAAAGTCATCATTTTATAAATTGTTTGCACTTTTTTCTAGGGAACTACAAATAAGAGCTTCCTGAAATTTGTCTTCGGTCTTGCTGCTTCATATGATCATGCTATAATATTAATGTGTGTTGCCTTTTCAAACTATCATTGTCCATTGCTCTTCATCTTTTTGTTTACCAAATATTTAAAGCAATGGTATCATTAGTGAGCAATAGCTCACAGCAATGGTATCATTAGTGAGCAATAGCTCACATCAATGGTATCATTAGTGAGCAATAGCTCACAGTTCTACTTTTTCTGCTGCCTTGAAAGAAATAATTGCATGTATGGCATGTATGGTAGTGTCACAAGTTAATTTTGATAAATATGTTTATCTTCATGATCTTTGAAAGAAGCAGATAGTGAATTTGATATTACTTATGTTTGAATTAAAGAGGTAAAGTTTTAATTGAAAAGTATATTTCAGAAATGAAGAAAATACTTCACTGACTGAAGATGAAGACTCAGAGTTATCTCCCATCGTTTTCTCCAGACCTGAGAAGGACAGTGATAGTTGTGTCCTGTATCTGAAAAGTTGTCCAGGAAAAACAGTGTCAGTTAAATACCTTGAAATACTAAGTGATAGGAAAACAATTGAGATTTACCATAGAACCGAGGGTTATTTGTTTTGTATGAGAGGACATTCTGTAGCTAGTGATGAAGGGGGGACAATCTATAGATGTTCATCAAAAATAGATTTCATCTGTGATAATATCTCTTTAAAGGTTTGTATCAGAAAAAATAAAAGTCTTGTTCAGTCATTTTGTGTTTTTGGTGACTTTCAATTATTACTGACTCAGTACATATACTTGTAGCTAAATAATGTATCACAAAGATTATTGCCTTTATTGCTATATTTACTTCATAATAATTTATTTGGCAAATAAAACATATTGAAGCCTTTCCTAATGCCAACATGTACAATAGCAATACATATATATAATATCAGGGTACTAGATTAAATCCTTGGTGACTTCTCTTTATTCTCTCTTTTTATTTTGTTTTAGTAAATTAGACCAACAAGTACGTACATGTAGTTATTCAGCAATGTAAAATATTTCTTCAGAAAAATAAAAAGGCCATAATAAATATTCTAAGAGTTTTGTCCAGCCTAAAAAAAAAATGTTCTTATATTTTAATGTTGAAAATGGAAAATAAAAAAAATACAGATGATGATGATAATCTATTTGTAATTAAGATTTAAAATATCAAAATTCAATTTTCTCTTAGACAAATCTACAATAATAAAACCTTTTTTTCAGTTACCAGCAAAGACTGATGTTGATACTATCAAGTTATATAAGATAAAACTAAACATTAGCATTGCTGATAAAAAGGAAGACAACCCTTTCTTAGGGAGAACCATTGATTTGGAGAAAGTTAAAGATTACTTAGGTGATATTCCTGAAAGTGCCAAAGGTCTTTATAATAGTATGGAGGCATATCAAAAGGTTTGATATTTAAAGTATTACTTAATGTTCATTTGTCATAACCATGATAAGATCTTGATTGTTTTGGTCAGGGGAAGATATACAAGTAATTTGCTTTCCCATTTTATCGTATGTGCCTTTATTTAATGTTTACATTGACATACCAATACAGTCATGACAGTCTTATATATGAAGTATTCTGAGATTGCTCTGACATTTTAACTGCTCTCTGTAGGAGATTGGATAGGTTCCAGTCAATCTTTAAAAACAGCCCCTAGTTAAAGAAAACCAATGAGACAATTATCTACCAGAGTTCAAATGACTTGATATATAAGCAATTATAGGTCACACTATGGTCTTCAACAAAGAGAAAAACCCATACTATATAGTCTGCTATAAAAGGCCCTGACATGAAAAATGTGAAAAGATTCAATCGGGACTAACAGCTTAATTTATAACAGTACAATTTCAAAAAATGAATCCATAAATGTGTCATTAGCTATTTCTCAGGAATTAATAAAGATTGGGTCATATAATTTTTTATGCAGATGCAACTTGGAGAAACTTATATAACCATTTGCCATAAGATGGTGGTCACATGACCCATAGTTTATAGTGGAGTTTCTTTGATCAAGTTTTTAAGCCTGATTACTTATATTGAGTTTTATGTCCACATTCTGTTCTCATCATCATATAACTTAATGTAAGGCTGCATCTATATATCTAGAGAGTCTCTTTAAATTTTTTTTATTCACTTTCATTAAGAAACTAATGTAATTAGATCAAAAATCCAAAGTGACATATAAATTGAGTCAAGGATGCTTCTAGGGGAGTAATGCAGCCTTCTGGAAAAAGTTTGCCACTTTGACCTACATTTTATACTCCATTGAATTGTGTTAAGTATTACAATTGAGGTTCTTTTCTAATGTTTAATCTTGTTAAAAAGATGTATTAATGTCATATAAACAGTCTCCCATGAAAAGCAGGTAACTCTGAACATATTTTCCACTTCATTGATTCATATTTTTGAATTTACCATCAATGTTTATTTCTCAGATTATAAGAGACCTACACTTCGGTTTTTTTTATACTTAATTTAAATTTTACTTTCAACTGTTATATTTTATAAATGGTATTAATTTTTACTTTGTTAACTGTTTGCCATATTTACATAATTTATCAAGCGAATTTAGGGATGATTCAAACTAATTTATCATAGATTAATTTTTTGTAATATTTTACAGAATCAACAATCCATGACAGCAGCCATGTCAACAGGAAGTAGTATGAATATGGGAAATTTAGGAATGATGGGATTGATGTCTGCTCTGATGGGAAATTTAAATATGTCACCATCTGTTAGGCAGTCAAATTCTCCCAAACCGAATGAAGCAAAAAGTAAAGAAAAAGTAATAAATGATTCTGATTCTAAAAGTTCAACAGAAATGGAATCAGTGACGACAGATAATACATCGGATGATGTCAGAACTCCATGCAGGAAAGATGAAAATGTTGAAAAGACTAAAAATGACCCTCCTCATACATTACCACAGAAAAGCAGGTTGAGTAATTTATTGAATGGTGTTGAAAGTGGACAAAGTGATTCTGGAATGTTCAGTATGTTAAAGGAAATCTGCAGTACTGTGTCAAAGCAGAGAGATGCTCCACAGAAGAATACAATATCAATTAGGTCTGTATAAAATAAAATAAGTTTGTCTGTTTGGCCTCAACAATTTATTAAAACAAAAATAACGTAGAAGTGAAAACAAAAAATGTGCATCTGGACAAATATTTGGTCCATTGCAGTGTATGTTTGTGTTCATATTCATCAATGCACTGAAGATAACAATAACTCACGTAAATTAAATGTGTAATACAACTAACATTGATCTGGGTTGAACACATTCAGACAGACATTTAGGAATCATTTCGTATATTTACAAACATTTAAGCCTCAAATCAAGAAACACTTACCCTTGTCACCATAAGCAATAGTCATGTGGAGCATATATATTTTATTCCAACATGGGCACATTATTTCATGCTTAATATGCAGAAAGTTAATTGGAGGTATACCTCTGTGAAACAGCAACCTAACAACACAAACAATCAAGAGAAGCAACATACAGTGTTCAACAATAGACAGGTACTGGTACAATATGTCAAGTTCTTAATCAGCCTGTTTATATCGAGGACATAAACTGTATCGTAAATGGATGAAATCTTTAGACATATAATGGCTCAGATGCTTATTTGGACAGTTTTTTACTGTACACAATTCTCATAAATACAAGATGTGTAACAATCAATCTTTTACATGCAATTACAAAAAAAGTGACACAACTTTTTTTTTATTTTTACATTGTCTTTAAAAAGTTTGAGTTGGGATAAAGAACATGAAGAAAATGGTTGTTTGAGTTACCAAGGAATATAAGATTTATATTGTTTTTAGTTATTTGCATGCTTTATTTTATAGTGAAATGAAAAAAGAAAAAGAAGAGAAAACAATACAAGGAGATGAATCTGTTGGTTCAGCTATAGAAGAACAGTTACAGAAAACAGAAGAAAGACTTAAACTTTATGTTGATAAACAGCTAACTAAATTAGAAGAGAGATTGAATGAAAGATTAGACCAAATTCTAACTTGTACATGTAAAAAGGATGATATACAACCTCAGGAAACAGAAGAATCATTAAAATTAGATCTAACTAAACAATTATCTGAATTAGAATATAGAATGAATGAAAAGTTTGATAAAATATTGAATTTTGTTTGTAAAAGTGACGATATAAAACCTCCTTGAAAACAGTGTAATTTGTTGGATGCATTTTGATCAAATTGACTTGTATCAGATAGGAGGTTCAACAGAAAGCTGTTAAATCAACAGTTAGTTCAGTGCCGACTCAAGATTTGATGTGATATGGACATGGTCAGGCAAATATAAACAAACACATAGAAACAGGAATTCAGTTAAAACAACAGAATTCAATTTGTTACCATATATTTTACAAAGATCAGTGCATATAAAGCAAAGTGAATGTAAACTTGTTACTTCTACTCAGACACCATATATATGGGACTTTCAGTTAATTTTAGAAATTGTATTTAAAATCGAAAAGAGAAGCACGCTTTAAAAAAATGATATGCAACTTGCACTTGAAATTTTAAAGTCATGTTTGGAAATCAAATATTTTGTGAAATAACTGGATTATTATTTTATAATTGACAAAATTAAATGTACAAGGTAAAAACCTTTTTTTTCTTGTTTGTTGTTGTTAAATATATATTTTTCTGCAAAAAAAAAAAAAAGATTCAAAGATGCCAGGGACAAAGTGGCAAATGTATAAAATGTACTGAACAATAAAAGATAATAAAACAATGGATTTAGTTTTCCTTATGAAGTTGATGTTTATTTTAAAGACACTGCCTTTACCAATCATTGTTTGTCATATTAAAGGTCTTAACGAAATTAGCAAATATTACATGTTGAAAGATGTACATTGACCTATAGTTGTTAACTTCTACACCATTTGGTCTCTGCTAGCAATCATACCACATATTTTTATTTTTATATAAACAATTTGATATTTTGATATTTTAATTCCCTTCTATAATAGTCTGTCTGTCTGTCCATCCATCCATCCTTAAATCAGATTAAAGTTTTGTTAACAAGTTGAATGTGGTCACATCAAATTGTAACTTGGTACTTATGTTCATTGAGATGTAGACTTTTTAAATGAATGATATAAACCAAATTAGGGAATGGACGGACAAACACAGAATGCCCCATAATATTGTAGACAGAAAATAAAAAGAAAGATTTGTTTGTTAATTTTAGGGTATTTAACATTTATCATTCAATTCAAGAGTTCTGCCTCTGTATAATCTGAACAATTCTCATGTCTGATGTTGTCTAACAGTTACCTTTCAAGAATTATTTTCTCTAATATTCCAAAGATTTGTAAATTGTATTACTGCATTGTTAATCCTTGTGGTCCGGATAAATAGATATGTCATGCCAAGCAGTAAATCCTCAACAAATTATGATGTGAAAAGAATACCAAACCTTCTAAATGGTGGACTGACATAATAGGAAGAATTTTTTCAACATGCTAGATGACAGGAAGATGTGTCATACATTATTCTGACTCTTATAACTGACCTGACATATTCCTAACTACAACCACAAGCAAATGACAATTTTACCTTGTTTGGTTTTACACAGCCTGCATTTCACAAAGAGTGGTATTACTTAGGAGCAGTCATAAATGTTATTGTAAACTACATCATAATGTGAAATATAGAAATGACATTAGTTTTATCTGTAAAATTGAGAATGGAAATGGGGAATGTGTCAAAGAGACAACAACCCGACCATAGAACAGACAACAGCAGAAGGTCATCTGTGCTTGGATGTGCAGGGGGTTCCATACTTTTACTACAATACATGAGTAGAGAATGTGTAATTTTTCTATCATCTATTTTTTATTTTTGTAAAGGACCTGTTTCAGGTATAAAAGATTTAAATAATTAAGCTTTTTACACATATATTTTGTGATATTTTGTTATATAGTATAAAATTGAGAATGAAAATGGTGAATATGTCAAAGAGACAACAACCTGACCAAAGAGCAGAAGCAGAAGGCTACCAATGGGTCATCAATGGAGCGAGAATATCCCGCACCCGAAGGTGGGCCTCAGCTGGCCCCTAAATAAAAATGTGTACTTGTTCAGTGAAAATGGAAGGTTACTGATCCATGGTACTTTGGTCATTTTGCATGATTACATTGGTACTAACAATAAGGTAGTATATTGATGGTCACTTAATATTTCAAATGTCCAGGTAAAAAAAAATCTTTGACTTTTACAGATGATCTGGAAGGGGTTAACATAATAGAGAATTATGTGCAAACAGTGCAGAATAAAGGAGAAAAAAAGAATAAGAGAATGATGACCAAAATAAACAAGCACTCTGAGAGTATTGCATGGCAAAACATAGTCCCCTACCGGTTGAAAATTCATTGTACTTGAACAAAATGCTAACTTGTCTATCATTTGTCATGGTGTAAACTATATAAAAAAAAATCAAATCAATATCTTCAAGCATGACGAAAAAAAGTGTGGAAAACTGATTATTAATTTGCATGGCTGAATTTTCGAAGTCCAAGGACAATAACTCTGCACAAAATCATCAGACCCGAACAAATTTCAAACTTGATCTGTAACTTGTCATGGTCAAACCATATACCAAATATCAAATCAATATCTTTAAGCATGACGAAAAAAAGTGCGGAAAACTGATTATTAATTTGCATGGCTGAATTTTCGAAGTCCAAGGACAATAACTCTGCACAAAATCATCAGACCCGAACAAATTTCAAACTTGATCTGTAACTTGTCATGGTCAAACCATATACCAAATATCAAATCAATATCTTTAAGCATGACGAAAAAAAGTGCGGAAAACTGATTACTTGCGTGAATTCCAAGGACCATAACTCTGCACATAATCATTAGCCCTTGATCTGTAACTTGCTAGTCATGATTAAACTATACACAAAATATCAAATCAATATCTTTAAGAACGAAGAAAAAAGTGTGGAAAACTGATTTGCCGGACTGACGGATGGCGTGCAAACCTATAGCCCTATCGACTTCATTGGTACGGGAATAATAAAGAATAAATAAAATTAAGGAAAAAGAAATGAATGACCCACCATCCAGACCCTCTTTACTAAGGTCAGATTGAAATTAGAGGAATGCGATCTATGACCGAGATAAAATGTCACCAGAGTAAAGAATGATATCCACCAAAGAACTTGAGAAGTGATAATTTCAGTTGTTCTTCCTAGTAAATCCAATCCAGTAATTCGTTTTCCACTAAGAGCACCTCATATTAGTGCAATTACCAACGTGATAACTCTTACGAGCATCTGAAGTATTTTATTTGGAAGAATATTTCAGCTAACACTACTTACTCTTATCAACTTGGATTCACAAACACATCAGTAAAAAAATGGTCACATGGTATGTTATTTCTATAAAAATGGGAAGTTGACAATAAGAACACTGAAATCTTGATCTTAATGTTGATTGTATACGATATCACTTCTGAAGACATTACGACATCACGTGTTTGTCAATGTTTAACGTACCCCTAACAATTTCTGTGAACAACTTACATTTAGCTGGTTCTTCCGCGAATTGCATCTTGATGATGATATCCGGACGTAAAAGGTTTCAATATCTAATTGTATTTGGTAGGAAGTCGAATTTAATTAGATGTTATGAATCTCGCTACTATTTTCTGGACATTTTCTAGTTTGTCTTGTAAGTATATTTGATGTAAGTCGCATATTCAAGACTGGTCTAAGTAGTCCCTTGTACGCCCGTAGCTTTCCCTCCATAGGGCATGATGAAAATATTCGTCTTGACAGTCCAAGTGTTCTATAAGATTTGTTGCATATCCGGAGTCCTCGGTGTGTTTTCCCCAATGTTAATCGCTACTGATGCTCACTCCCGGGTATGTTATTGATTTTAAAAAAATCCAGTTCTATGCCTTTCAAAGTGTACTTAAATTATGTGGTCTTCGTTTTGCGACTTAGTGTCATCATATTATATTTTACAGGTCGGAAACCCATTCCCCAAATTTCAGCTCATGTACCTAAGGTGTCTATGTCTTACTGTGGCTCTAGTCCTATAATATAAGACTTCGGAGTTTCATATCATTTACATTCAACGTTTTTTATCAGCGGATATTTTTTTTTTACTATCAATGTTGAAACCCGAAGTCTTATCGATAGATGCTATTTTCTCGTAGCATTTTCCCAACGAATTTCGGGTTTCAACATTGATAATAAAAAAAAAATATCCGATAAAAAACGTTGAATGTAAATGATATGAAACTCCGAAGTCTTATATTATAGGACTAACTGTAGCTCCATTGTGTCTTGATTGTTGTTTATTTCTCTATATCACACACAGTCGTCTTTAAATAGTTTGATCTCCGATGTCACATGTTCCGCTTTGTCTTTAATGTGAACGAGGAATATAATAGTCCCGAGAACTGTTCCCTGGGGGACTCCTGAAAGTAAAGCTGAATCGCCTGATTTACTCCCATTTACAACTACGCATTGCGACCTCAAGTTAGACGAGAATGAGTCTATCTACTTCATGCTGTTTTTTGGTACGCATATTTGTGAAGTTTTAAGTAAAATTGAGAATGGAAATGGGGAATATGTCAAAGAGACAACAACCCAACCAAAGAGCAGACAACAGTTGAAGACCACCAATGGGTCTTCAACGCAGCGAGAAAATCCCGCACCCGGAGGTGGTCCTCAGCTGGCCCCTAAATAAAATTGTGTACTAGTTTAGTGAAAAAGGACGTCACACTAAACTCCAAAACATATAAATGAACTAAAATTAAAAAACATACAAGACTAACAAAGGCCAGAGGCTCCTGACTTGGAAGAGGCGCATAAATGCGGCGGGGTTAAACATGTTTTGTGAGATCTCAACCCTCCCCTATACCTCTAGCCAATGTAGAATAAAGAAACACATAACAATACGCACAGTTAAAATTCAGTTTAAAAGAAGTCCGAGTCCGATGTCAGAATAGTTAATAAAAGAAACTAAGCAAAATGACAATGATACATAAATGAACAAAGGACTACTAGCAGTTACTGACATGCCAGCTCCAGACCCCAATTAAACTGATTGAAAGATTATGTCTTCATCATAAGAAAATAAAGTACAATCCCTCCCATTAGGGGTTTAGTATCATACCATCATAAAATATATGAGAAGAACATAACCCGTATCATATATCCAACAACTGGTTTTAGAATAAATGTGTTTATTTCCAACGCAAAGACCCTATGAGTGAATCAATATTAATACCAAAATATGCAATCCTTAATGACTTGACAACAGTATCGTAACTATATTCTTTCCGAATAAGTCTGTTTAAAGGTTTGGTTAGCTTTTGAGGTGAATGCCGACATTTTTGTGATTTGAAAAGAATATTACCATAAAATATTGGATGTGAAATACCTGAACGTATAAGATGTCTGCATGTTGATTTATATTTACGAATGATGTCCTTGTATCGATGATAAAATTTAGTAAATGTTTTGACTAGCCAGTTTGTGATATCGAAAACCCTGGTGCAATAATTTTTCAGTAAGTAGTTCGTGTGGTACCGTGTAGTTGCCCTTTCAAAATCTATAATAAAATATCTACCTGTTGTCTGAAAGCATGTTGCCTGTTATTGAGAATGTTGTTCTTTTCGAAATACTGCATCAAATTTGAGCAAATAAAATGTTCCAAAAGTTTACATATGATAAAATACATGTGAGTGAGACCGGTCTGTATACTTTG